TCCATATACTAAAATTGCGAATCCCAAATCCACCTTCCTTCCTTGGAATTTCCAGCTTATCCCAGACCATTATTGCCCTTTTCGTGACCCCATTCTCAGCTGAATCCCACAAATATTCATTACAAATTCTCTCCACTTCCTTGATAACAAACTGAGGCAACAACAATATATTAAGCCACTACTGGAGAGTGCTAGATATGACTGTAGTTATGAGATGAATCTTGCCAGCATAGCTCAACAACTTAGACCGCCAATTTCTTAATCGTTGAGTAATTTTATCCACTAGAACTTGACAGTCTTGCCTTGTGAGTTTTCCTGTAATAAGTGGAACCCCTAAGTACCTCACTGGGAGAGTTTCTAGAGGGCATTCAGTATAATCTCATATGTCCCACATCTCCTCTTTGGATATCCCTACACAGAATAGCTGGCACTTTGTTGGATTGCATCTCAGACCCGAAATCTTATAGAAACTATCCATTAACCTCCTAATCCCAACCACCCTCTTATTTCTCCATTTGTAAACATCATGAGATCATCCTCATAACACAAATGCATTATCATAAGAGGTTTACACCTAGGATGGAAATAAATTTGATTCTCAAGCACAACCTTCCTAGCCAAATAATCAAGTACTTCCATAGCAATTGTAAACAGCTAGGGAAACAGAGGGTCTCCCTGCCTCAGGCCTTTACATGCTTTGATGTTCCCACAGAGTCCCACATGATTGAGACTTTAATAGTTGGAGTAGTAATAGTGTAATACAGGTAGATAGCAGGTTAAGAAAGCCAAAGGAAAATCCCATTGCTTCCACTACAGGAAATAGAAATTTCCAATTGACTGAATCACATGCCTTCATTATATATATTTTTACCACACATCTTGGAGTAATATTCTTCTTATGATAATTCCTCCCAAGCTCAGATACCAAAAGCATATTATTACTAATTGCCCTCCCTTTAATGAATGCAAACTGAGATCGACTCATTACACTAGGAAGTACTAATGCAATTTTATTAGACAACATTTTAGAGATTTTCTTATACAAGGTATTGCAACAGGATATAGGTCCGAAGTCCTTCATTTTATCAGAGCAAGGCAACTTTGCAATCAATGTAAATATGGTACTATTTACAATTGGAGGCATGAAACTAGTAGAGAATAAAGAAAGGATTACCTCTTCCGCCTTTTTTCTAATAAGATCCCAATGTGCTTTGTAGAATTCAACAGGAAACCCATAAGGTCCAGGGGCCTTAACCCTCCCAAGTGTTTGAAACACTTGCTTAATTTCAACTCTTGTGATTCCTCCCATTAACATTGCCCTCGTGCGGTAGGATCCCTTGAAAATACTCTAGTGGCTGCTGCTCCACATTTGGATGCTCAGTACCAATTAACTGTGTGTAAAAATCCACTGCAATATTTCCTATGCTCTTCACATCAGTTTTCATTTCTCCCTTATCATTCACCATTCGAGTAATCTGCTGCTTTTGAGTCTTATATTTGCAATCTTATGAAAATAAGAGGCACTAGCATCCCCTTCTTGTATTGCCTGAGTTCTAGTCTTCTGCTTATAGTATAACTCTTCTGCTTTTTTTAATGCCAGATATTAAAGACACAACTTCTTTTCTTCAGATATGAGCTCCTCAATAGGATGATTCAATATTGCCATTTGAGAAACCTCCAATGCAATTGCTGCTTCCTTCACTCTTTCTGAGATATCTGAGTATACATCACGATTCAACTTCTTGAGCCCCTGCATGACGTTCTGTAGCTTTCCAAAGAAAATATAATAAGGGTAACCTGACACTTGTTTCTGCCATGCCTGCTGAATGATACATAAATAGGCAGGGTGGGATTGTGAGAAAATAAAATACTTGAATGGCTTAGGAAGTATTTTCAGTTGAGAGTCTGTATCCAAAATTAAACCAGAGTGACCAACAATTCGGGGGGGGGGGGGGGTCTTAGCTGAGCTATTCGAGAAAATCTCCAACCAAACTTCATTCACTATCAATTTGTCAATCCTTCTAGCTGTTGGGTTAGCCCTTTGTCGATTCCACCAAGTAAACCAGGATCTAGCAACCTTGTGATCAATCAACTCCATATCCCTGATCCGGCCTCTAAAATCATCCATACTTTGTGTTACTAAATGCGTGTTAGAAGCTTCATTAACCTCAACGATGGCATTGAAATTCCCCATATAGACCATAGGGATACTAGTATCTTTCCTTACTAATAGCTCTTGATAAAGTAACTTCCTCCCTGCCTCCTTATTAGGGCTATAGACAAGAACACCATGAATGGCCTTCTATCTTCAACCAGAATCTGTATAAAATGTTCCCCTTCTTCAACACTCTTCCCAGTTTTGATTTAGCATAGGTATCTAAGTGTTGCTATGCAGAAAAAACACATGTAATTATTGCCTTAATATTATCTTCTATCACTCTAGTTTCTAGCAAGCCTACTATATCTATTTTATTTACCCTCAACTGCTCTAAAACAACTGAGTGTTTATCAGGGGAGTTGAATCCCCTGATATACCAGCTAAGCAACTTAATTTACCTCTCTTTTCCCCCCTTCCTCTCCCTTTAGGAGGTGAAGGAGGGTGGATCACTGCAGGTCTAACTCCTTCTCTACTTCCCATCAGGCTGGGATATGTTCTTTCATCTAATACTATCTGTCTCTGAATGCCATTGCTACTTGAACCAGAGCTAATCCACACTTTCTGCTTCCTGATAACCACCAGAGTAAAGCCATCTTCATCCACCAACCCGCTTCCCGGGGAAGGGGTTTGTGATACTATTTGGCCTTGCATATTCACTGCATCATCTGATGCCACTTCCTCAGCAACCTCTTTCCATTTTTCTTGCGTTTCTTTTGCTACCTGAGGTGCCTCTCCTGCTCCTGTGACACCATCTCTACTTCTACTGCCAGAGGAACTTCCTTCTAATTGTCAATTGCTATATGGGTTTCCTGGAATCTCACCTATCACTGGGATTTTCTTGGCCGTACCCTTTGTTGAAGTCCCACTACCTAACCCAAAACACTGCCATTTCTCACAAACCTTTGGCATATGACAATATACAACATCAATAAAAAGCTCACGCAATCCATCTGTTGGGACACTCAGTTTCGTTTTCTTCTTAGCAGTTGCCTTAACCTCCACACAAATATTTGCAAAACCCACTTTTCGTCCATGTGTTGTAGATTTATCCATACACAAAGGGAGTCTCAACGAACTAGACACTCTTCATAACCCTTCCTTGGATGTAAGCTCCGTCGGCATATTGGATAGCTTGATCCATAGAGGCAGCCCAGTGTTTTCGATCTTAAGTGGACTAATCTCTGGCTCCCATTTTCGGAGAAACAAATTCTCCCTATGATGCCATGGTCCGTTTTCAAACACCCACTGACAGATCTCAGCATTGGCAAATTGGAATAGAACCAGTCATCGCCTCATCCAAGAGACCTTGACCTCTCCATCCTTGTCCCATAACTAATTTTCCCAATACCTTAGTGAAGAGATTGAAGCTGGGCGGTCGATGAACTGTCCAACTAAGCAATTCTCCCAACGCTTTGATCCTTCTTCTATCACCTCACTTGGAATTCTCAATGATCCGTTCACATACTCCGATTTGTCATAGTCTAGATGATTATCCTCGGGAATTCCAAACAACGATATCCAGGAGCCACAATCACCGACAATTGTCACACCGTCAGTGACGGCTGCAATCGTCCAATCGTGATTAGGTTTTCAGAGAGAAACTTAGAGAGAGAGAGAAAAAGAGAGGGACCCGTATCCCCTACTATTATTGATGGCAATTTCAACCCGCCCCGCAGGTATTACCCGACCTGACCCGCAGTAGCGTGGGGTGAGGCATTGGTATCCACTTCCGCCCTGCCCCGCCCCATTCTATACCCATTTTATCTCAATTTCTTATAGTATCTATACATATTTCTCTTATTTTGACTTTTCTTCAACTAGCTAGACTCAATTATCCATTCTATTATCACTATTTTTCATTCATAAAGTGTTTTCCCTTCATTTTATCTTAAAAAGTACAATTTGCGTGTATTTTTTTCAAATAACATGTAGAGTGGGTCGACCAACCCCGTCCCGTACGAGCGCGAGTTTTACCCGCCCCGTCCCATAATAACGTGGGGAAAAACATGAGAATTGAGATACCCGCCCCGCCCCGCCTCGCCTCGCCTCGCCTCATTGCCATCACTAACTACTATATTCATTGCTAAAATTTGCTGCTAAGAATAGCGCAAATATAAATAAATTAATGTATAGTGACTACTTTGTAGTTATCTCAAAGTTCGATGTCATTTATGTAATTAAACCATTCTTCACTCTTTCCTTCCCGTATATATCCCTTCTTAAATCGGTTTTTCTTTTCCATTCCAATTTCCACATACGTCTTCACCAGTTCGTTTTCGTTCGCAAGATCAAAGCCTTCTCTTATCCTTCTCGACTCCTTCTTGACTACCATAACAGATCGACCGGTCCTTCGGTAAGTCTCTCTCTCTCTCTCTTCCAAGAGTACCCGACTCGATCTCTTGCACTCACTCTGGATCCTACTACAAATCACGTTTCTGCTTTCAGTGTGCTGCGAATCTGGAGCTCAATTGAGTTTCCGGATTCCAATTGCTTCTTGGTTGGTTTGATTTGGACTCAGGGTAGTCGATGAGTTTGATAGGTTTGACTCTTTTGAGACTTGTTGAAGTAGGATCGCATGCTTTTGGCTGTACTGAACCTTTCTGAGATTTCTGTGATCGTATGATCTGTTGTAGTTAAACCAATATCTGGGCAACTCGCTTGAATTTCATTGTGCTTCTTGTTCTCTATGATAGAGATCAGTGTAATTTGATGCTGTGTTGTCGGTGGATTTCCTCCCGCTCTTTTTATCCGCACACCATGTTTGGATTGGCTTGAAACTTAACAGTTGATGCTGACTGCTGAGCCTTCCAAAAGTTTGGATCTTGGATCGATTTCAATGTTGTACGGATTGAGGGTTATCATGTGGGGTCGATCTTATCTGTGGCTGCCCCTTACTTAGATAATTTTGTATGATCAATTTGATTTTAATTACTCCAATGAGATATCTTATTCCCCATAGTCATTTGCTAATCTACTAATTTTTACTCGCTGGGATTTTTCTAATTGAAAAATGAAGAATCTCTTAGGTAAGGAAGCATGGAGTCCAGCAGGGGTAATGGAATTCAACTCCTTCTAGCTGCAGAGCAAGAAGCTCAGCACATTGTCAATGCTGCAAGAAATGGTAAGCACTTTTGTCCTTGTTAGGCATCCACCATTTGATATCTTAGTTTGCTCTGTCTGCATATTCACTTGATGGTTTCTAACCGGGGGCTTACTGTAGTTTGAAGTTATTATCATCTTGATTGGTTCTCTATACCAATAGTTAGGTTAAAGATGTTTGGATATGTCGTGAGGTTGCTTATGATTTAACTTAAAAGGCTTGGATTGAATTGCTGTCCTGTGCCTATTTTTGGTTGGTTGGGATTTTGCCTTTTTTCTCCCCAAGGCTAGAGGCAGTTTAAATCTTGATAATTTCATGTTGATGAGAATTAGCCCAGCTACACACTAAAGTTGGCTCCTTGCACTTCTGCCTTCATATTGTTTCCCTTTTGACTTTTTGAAACTTGATTTTGCAAAATTGAGGCTTGTAGTGAAATGGTGAAGTTGGAATTGGAACTCACTTCTTAATTTAGAAATTCAAGAACATTTTTTTGTTTTCCCCTGGTGAATCTAGGTTATTGTATAAACTTGAGAGGAGTTATTGGTTTCGACTCATTAGCTGCTTCGCCGAATGAATTTGGAGATAATGAGATTCGCTTGTTTTATGTAGCAAAATTGGCTAGGCTGAAACAAGCCAAGGATGAGGCTGAAAGGGAAGCTACCGAATTCCGCGCCCAAATGGAAGCTCAATATCAGGCCAAGCTGACAGAGGTAATAAACTAGAGAACTAGACGAGCCTCATTGATTGCCTCACACTTTGTTCAACTTCCGATCAAATTGCTTGTTTGGAACACTACCTCCATGCCCAAATTGTCTGACTCTCTTGTGCCCTTGTGGGAAACAACAGACCAGCGGTGACTCGGGTGCTAATGTGAAGCGGCTGGAACAAGAAACCCAGGTGAAGATTGGTCACCTGAAGGAGGAGGGTTCCAGAATCTCTCATGATGTTATAGACATGCTGCTGAGGCAGGTTACCACAGTTAAGAATTAGGAGGATGCTGATGGATTGATACTCTGTTCAGCCAGGTTCTTTTCCGGAGAGAGTTGAGTGATGAACACTGTGATGTGTAATATGTTGAAGGAGAGATACTGGGAGTTGGTTGCTTGGTGTGTATGTCAATTGCCTTCGAATCTACATACTTTTATGACGTTGTATTGTTTGATCATGGACTTCGTATTCGCGGTGTTGGAATAAATTCTCCTATTGTAGTGTTGACAAGTAAAATCATGGTGGGCGGCATGTTCATCATTTACAGAATTGAAACTGTAAACCCCAGCTGTGGAGGAAGACAGTCGGTGGGTTCTCAGCTAATCCACGCCTTGTGTTGGTGGCCGACGCCACTGCCATCGTTGCTGCTGCATTCTATGGGCCATATATTGTTGGACTTAGCCCTTGGGTGGGTTCCAGGCATGAACCTGAATCTAACTGGGCTAGGATGGGCCGGGCCTCGCTCTTACTCTCCATGCTAAATAAAAGACATAGGCGCATTGTAAAATACAATGTTTGATATGTGTGATTGTGTATGTCACATCAGCTAATAAATCAAAAAAATAATGCATTGTAAACAATACATGTATAATAACAATCTCACCAAAACAATCGCACCTACCAAACGACCCCACATATACATGGTGAATATCTATCGACATGGTTAGGAGTGTGTTACGATCCGGTCCAAATTTCGGAGAACGGTTGTCCAATAGTGAAACACTTCTTAGAACCAAGGACCGATCAACAATGCATTCTATCTGGTCGAAATGTTAAATAGGTCGATTTTTCATCAATATTTATAAAATTCATGTGATCAAGGACTGAACCATATTATATTCAAATAAGTGTGGTTCGGTCCAAGTGTCGACTTGGTCTAGTACGGTGCGACCAGTATGAACCATCCCCTTGCAAACCTCTAATATAGATAATCATTTCAATTCGACCGATTTGATTGGAATAAGATTCTATGAAAATGAACTATTTATGGGCGTGAACGAAATCCAGATCCAAATATTATGGATAGTTGACATGAATGATTTTCTTACTCTTCTGTTATACATGTGTATTTTTTTTATAAATCATCATTCAATCTTTCAACATATTCGACATTGGTAAGCGCACAATATCCTAATGGATTTGAGTTTTACTATTATTAGTTATCGTAAGATTGGCGAACTATTATTATATTTTCACTTATATATATGGTGGCTACTTCGGCGCACTCATTTTTTTGGTGCACTCAGTGCACCCAACCTTAAAAGTGTCCATAGTACTTCAAATTTTGAACTTTAATTACTACTCTCAATCTAATATGATGATATGACATAGAATCATAACAAATCAATCTATTACCCTAACCCCTTAACCTTCAATTTTGAATCCCAACCCAAAATCCCAAATTGTAAACCTAAACCCTAATCCTAAATCTTAAATCCTTCAAATTAAAGTAAATATTGAATACTTTTTTTTTCAAATTCATCTGCTTCTTGTCCATAATATCATAAGCAACAATTGATACCAGGGTTAATTGCATGGTTGGTCACCGAGATTACAAAAAACGTTCATGTTTGGTCACTGAAAATATTTAAATCCAGTCTTGGTCACTCAAATTAATTACATGATTCAAGTTTGGTCACTCTCCGTCTATTTCCGTTAACTCCAGCTTACGTGGCAGTCAACTTTCATAGTTGACCGTTAAATACGTGACGTGGCAATTAAAAAATTATTAAAAATAAAAAAACAAACTTTTATATTTTCCACTTCATTATTACCTTCATTATAAAATAAAAAATAAAAAACCTAAAATTGCTCAAGGAGAAGAAGATGATGAATCGGCTTCGGGAGTTGGAGAAGCAGCTTCTGGAGGACGACGAAGACGAGGAAGGATCCGGCGGGGTCTGTTTCCGTTATCACCAACAGCGAGTGGTCGGAGAAGGAGGACTTGGTGGTCTTTTGAATAATAAGTTCGAGTAGGTAGGCGGCGAAGATTCCGAATGAGTAACTGGCGGCGAAAAATGCGCCGGTCAAGCTTGCCATGCTCGCTGGGAGCTCCGAGTAATAAAACTCGATTTGAGCCACACCATTAAAGGCCTCGGCTAGTCCCACGAGCACCAGCTGCGGTGCCAGCCAAAACACCGACACCAGCTGTGCACTCCTCCGCCGCTGGCCTTCCACAATCCCCGCCACGCCGCGGCAAGGGTGGATAGGCACATCCCAACCCCGATTCTTTGTAGGGTCGATAGATCAAGAATAAACCTCTTCTTGTTGTTGTTGGTGGTCTGATCAGCATCTTGGGCTTGATCGCTGCTGTTTCTCCTCTTCCTGACCAGCGGGATGATGACCTTATATTGTTTGGTCAATTCTTAGGCCTTCTTCTTCATCATCTTCGTATTCCCTGTTCTTCTTCTTCTACCTCCTCCTCCAGAGTGGATTCGAGAATCGCGAGATTCGCCGCCATGAACCCGAGCTTGAAACACAGGGAGAGCTCGTACAGCAGCTGATTTGACGCGGCGTGCTCTTTGCCGTATAGCTCCGCCACAGGCGGCGGATTCTCCGCCGGATTCACTCTCGATTTGAGCGCCGAGTATAAATAATCCATCAGCCTCTGCTCCGAATTCCCCTTTCCTCCGATAGAAACCACACGAGACAGGATCTCCGCCGCGGAGTCGGTCTTCCCTTCGTAAATCGCCGCCGCGGCCTCCATTAAAACCGGCCTCGTGCAAATCGAGGCGGAGGTCGTCGTGGAAGAAGTAGTGGAAGACGACGAGGACGGGCTGGGTGAAGGGAAATCTGATTATTGTTGTCGTTGTTGGCGTTGGTGGGGCTGGAGGAAGAGGAAGGAGAGATGAGATTCTGAATCGTCTCCAACCACTCGCTGTTGGTGATAACGGAAACGCGTCCCCGCCGGATCCTTCCTCGTCTTCGTCGTCGTCGTCCTCCAGAAGCTGCTTCTCCAACTCCCGAAGCCGATTCATCATCTTCTTCTCCTTGGAGCAATTTTAGGTTTTTTATTTTTTTTATTTTGTAATGAAGGTAATAATGAAGTGGAAAATATAAAAGTTTATTTTTTTATTTTTAATAATTTTTTAATTGCCACGTCACGTATTTAACGGTCAACTATGAAAGTTGACTGCCACGTAAGCTGGAGTTAACGGAAATAGACGGAGAGTGACCAAACTTGAATCATTTAACTAATTTGAGTGACCAAGACTGGATTTAAATATTTTCAGTGACCAAACATGAACGTTTTTTGTAATCTCGGTGACCAACCATGCAATTAACCCATTGATACCATTTTGACATGAATCATATGCTCTGAATGACAATTATGAGGCGGGTGCACTGAGTGAACCCAAAAAAGTGGATGCACCGAATACGCCACCATATATATATATGTCAGAATGGTGTACTTCTAGAGTATACTATACTCCAGGTACTACGAGTGAGATATCACTATCTAGACCATGAATAAAATTGAGTTTGGAGGTATGATATTATACCCTAACCTCTGATGGATAAACTCCAGGCCTCGATTCTCTAAACTCAAACCCGAAGTTCAATTTAATAGAAAATATTAATTGACCGTTGAAATTGGTCGGAGCTCATAAAAAGAGATCTAACGATCATATCACATGGAATATGATATACTCCTAGATAGTGGCGGAGCTAGAACTCTAAAGTACTTGTGTCCTCTTTCCATAATATAAATATATAAATATTTAATAAATATAATTAAAACTAATAATATCCAAATAATTCATTCTTAGATAATAAAGAAATTTTAGACTAATATAATCATAATTTTCATAAGCAATCACAACGCATTTTCATATTCTCAATGTATCCCACTAAGCAATCTTTAGCAAATTGGTCGCAGTTCGACTTTGAAACTTGTGTTTCTAATATAGATCAAAGCTTAAAATGTTCTATCTATACTTGCAATTGCAATAGGTAGAGTCAAAACTAATTTCATAAGACAGAGAGATTGATTTTTAGGTATTGTGAATTTTGTTTATAGTGTGATAAATTGATTATTTTAGCTTTTAAACTTGAAATAGCACGTTGTATAATAATGAAACACTTTTATGTCACCTAAATGTGATGAGTGCAATTCTTGATTGATACATATATATGAAGTATTTTATTTTACCCAAAAATTACGTGTTTCTCGGGACACATCCAATAGGCCTAGCTCCGCCTATGCTCCTAGAATATATACTAGTTATTACCATATATATAAATATATTTACAAATAGTAACACATTACATGAAATAATAAAGAAAAACTTTCGTCCATAAATATCCATAACTAATCAAAACCTGTACGTGTAGATATTTGATTTGGTCTATTGTACAAACCTTGCACCAGTATGAGTAAAAGGATAAAATCATTATTCACTAATCAGAACTATTTATAATAGAATAATGGATACTGACCCGTTCACTAATGTACATCAATGGACTCGTTCTCATCAAGGTTGTCAATGCTGGGGTTGATCCGTCGGTAGGCTTGGCAACGGGTCGGATCAGGGCCGGGCTGGGCCTATCCGCAACCCGCCTGAATTGCTAACAGGTTTTCTCCGAATCCGCCCTGTTACTAATATCGGGCTTGTTTTGAGGCCCAACCCCGAAACTATCGAGCAACTACCAAAAAATTGTTAAAAACCAACAATATTTACTAGAATTGAGACTGAAAACAACATAAACTAGGCATCACCATTCACCAAATCATCATCCAGACAAAAGAAAACAAGTTCCAAATTGAATTCCAACACCCATACAGGCATATAGCCATAAACCAAACAAAACCAAACTAGTTCCAAAATGTTCAATCTTCAACCAACCAACAAAATCAGCAACTTCATTGCTTCAAACAAAATAAATGATCATCGTCTTCAGTCTTCAACAACAGCACTGCAGCAGCCACTAGTACTAGAAAGCACTCAACAGCTAGCAGCAGCCCTTCGAGCAAATCAGCAGAAGCATCATCAAAGCAATCAGTAGCAGCAAGACACCATCAAGTCATCAACCTTCAGTCTTCAATGTCCAAGAGTGTACGAGTACGACTCTGGCTACCTTGAAGATCTGTGGCAAGCAGAGAACTTACCTTCAGCATCAAGTAATTGTTCATAATTGATAAAACATGCCACTAGAGAACTTACCTTCTTTCTTAAAGTCTTCACAACTTGGATCCTCCACTGTCAATGCAGAGAAGCAGCTTTTCAAACCTTGAATATCA